GGAGGGGCAGTGGTTTGGACATGTCCAGAGGAGGGACAGTGGTTTGGGCATGTCCAGAGGAAGGACAGTTGTTTGGACATGTCCAGAGGAGGGACAGTGGATATATTGGTAGAAGGATGTTAGAAATGCAGCTGCAGGAAAAAGACAAAGAGAAGATACATGGATGCAGTTAGAGAGGACATGGAGGTAGTTGGAGTGAGGACAGAGATGGAGGAGGACTCGCTGTGGAGACACCTGAAGAGGGAAAAACCGAAAGAAGACGAAGGATCCTGTCGAGACCAGCAACCACAAATTTATGATATGTATCATTATCTCAGTCCTATGAACCCGTAAGTGACAGCCATGTTAAACTGTCCCTCAGGGGTGCCGTGTCTCTGTAGAGAGAACAGTGGCATCAATGAAACACCTTTATCCTCCCAGAGCTTTGTCAAAGAGTGTGAGGAGGAAAATCAGCTCTGATTCCACTTGCAGATCTTCACTCCTTGGTCAAAATGATTGGTTGCTGTATATTTTTTGTTTTGTTACAGCATCAGTTGTCTTTAAACTGAAATATTGCAGAGAAGCCGCACAAGATTCTTACTGAACTGTGCATGATTGGGCCAAATGCTTTCTTTTTACTGTTTTAATTTTTTTACTTTCTGTTCATCTTTATGGGAGCTGAATATAAACTGCATTCTGTTACGGATCACTGCACATGCAAAACTCAGCTCTCCAAGCTGACCCTGGTCACCGCTATCCAAGTACATTATTAATGTTCATTTAAAGAAAGAAATATGAAGTGAATGTATCAAATCAGATATGCAGAAAAAATCAATGTTTGCACACCACAGCAGTTAAGTGAAAAGAGCAGACAGCATTCATCGCTCACACTCATTTTTCCACTCCCACTTGCATGCAGCAGTCTGGATTAGCCAGACAGAAAGGAATGAGACGACGGACTGAAATGTGAAATTAAAAAGGGTAAAAGTGAAATGATGAGTCTGCAGGAAGAATAAATGAACAGAGACAGAATGAGTCGTCGCAGCGTTTTCTCTTGCAGCTATTACATATGACGAGCTATGATATGAATCTCATGCATCACAAACTGCACTCTGTGATTGGTTCTGAAGGCAGAGCTCAGCTTGAGTTCTACCATTAGCTAATGAGCTCATAAACTCAGCTGGTTGACCAAGAAATGCAATCAGCCACCGAGAAAAGGGAGCAGCTTGAAGTGCATCTTAAGAATGTGCTCCGTGCCGCTGAACTGTTAGAACATCATGCGCTGTCAATCATCTTCACAGTCTGCTGTAATAATGTAAACATTAAGGTGTTTAATGCTGTTCTCAACATTTTTCCAATTTCTTGCATGAAAAATGTGCATGTAGATGCAGAAGAAAAGACAAGAACTATAAATGAAGGACTAGTGTTCTTTGAAGGAATTCATATTGATGACTGTTTCAAACCAGAGCTTTAAATGAAGATTATCTTATGTAGAAGTGTCTGTATCTATTAGAAATATATATAT